TATCTATCTATCTATCTATCTATCTATCTATCTATCTATCTATCTATCTTCCAATCGTCCTCTCAACAGTTACACGTACAATTCTAATCAAACCTCTCTCCAAGATTTCGTCACAGTTCCCTTCTTTCTATAACTTCTTTCTAATCATCAAAACCGCAAGTCACAAAGTCACTTTCTTTCTCACACAAAAAGTCCATAAGGGGTTTCCAGTCATTGATATGTGGTGCAGTGTGTTTCTAGTCCTCTTGAGGACAAAAAGGTGTATTCACTCTTAGAAAGGCCCAGCAGTTCAAACATCTCTGCAAGGCAAAATTATTGGTCTGGGACTTGAAAATATGGCTTCAAATTTATATTTATTTATTTATTTAAGTTGTATGCCGCCCATCTCCCTCAACGGGTGACTCTGGGCGGCTCACAATTAAAACCCAAAACCCAAAAATTGCTTGTGAGAACCTACAGACACCCATGGAGCCTGAGAAAACAGAGAGTGAATGGATCTGGGTTACCCATTGGCTAGGCTTCTATAACATGCTGAACACTTATACCCAGGTTAACTAAAATTGCTCTGCTCATATAATCTGCAATTCCCAAATAAAGCACATTACAGTTTAACACAGTGACTCCAAAACCCCATTTAGCCTAATTTGTTATGGAATCCTGGCAACCCTGATGGGCTTTAGGAAAGCCATTAAGACGAGTCTCCCCTTGCAGTCATATACAGCTAGTCCTCACTTAACGACCACAACTGGGACTGGCAACCCCATCGCCAAGCGACACAGTCACTAAGCAAAACATCACATAACCACAATGGACTTATGACGTCACTTCCCATTCAGTCGTTAAGCGAGACATCATGTGACCACGACTTGTGATTGCACTATCGGTTTCTCCATTGACTCTGCTTGTCGGAAGCTGGCTATGAGAGGCACAAATGTCAATCATGTGACCGCAGGACTCTGACAGCTGTAAGTGCAAGGACCGGTTATGAAGTTACTCCTTCAGCACCATCGTAACTTCGAATGGTCGCTAAACGAGGGAGTCGCTAAGCAACGTCTCCCTGTAATTGATTAGACTGGTGCGATAGGAGAATTGTATTGCTGGGCTTTGCTGCGTTAGTTGTGCTAACCTTTCGGCTGTACCTGGGAATGCAAGCCGGTTACCAGTGAAGCAGCATCTCAGGTTGAGCAAAGAAGTAAATAAATAAAGTTCTGGACTGAATTTCATTTAACAGGAATTTGACTCCGTCCAAGTCTGTCAGTATCCCTTGTTCTCTCCGTCCTGGAGCTGAAATCAGTTGATTTTCCCGTGACTGACTTCTCAGCTGCTCCCAACCCGTCAGACGGGTCCCAGGGATTTTCTGGGGCTTGCACCGAGATCGCTTTATCTACCCACAGAGCCTCTCTAAGCCGCCGTTTTCGCTGCCGCAGAACGTCGGTGTTGAAACCGTGTTGTCCACCTCAAGCGCGGTGCGAAAAGTGAGTCACGCGGTGGGTTCCTCTCTTTCGAAATGGGCTGCGCACGGTTCCTGAGCAGCAGGCTGAGGTCCTGCAGGCGAGGGCCGGCCCTTGCAACCTCTGCTGAATCACTGAAAAACCCAGAGCTCTGCTCCGCTTCCTGCTGCTTGCAAAGGTGAGACTGAGGAATGCTGGGGCGAGGAAGAGGAGGGAGACCCGGGCTGTGAGCTAAACACATCGCTTGCCCGGCTGGAGTGCCCACCAGGTAGGTTCAGACTTGCAAGGTTCTGTTGCTGTAACCTTATAATAAAAGCAGCATTGCCTGTGTGACGTTGATTTCCTAGTCTGGTCTACCTTGAAGGGCTGGCAGCCCACCCAGCCTGGAGCCCCCAGGTGACGCCCCCAATTTCCCGGCCAGCTGAGATAATTGGAGGGGTGGTCCAGACTGACACCAAGGAGGATGGCACAGATTGCATTTTGAACAGGGAGACCCTGCGGAATTAAGCAGGGAGAGCCGGGGGTGTGTGTGTGCGCGCGCATGTGTGCGTGTGCACGCATGCACACTGCCATGTAACAGAAAAACCAAAGCTTTAATGTTGGGCTTTTGTGGCAGGTTTTAAACCATCCAAACTGTAGTTGAAGGAATCCTGGGAAACGTAGTTCTGGAATGCCAACAGGGACTGCCAGGACATCCACCCCTCCCAAGAGGACAAACCAGTCTCAGAACTGGTTTGCAGTCGCCCTGCACCCGCGCTGTTGGGAAAAAAGAGGGCAGGCCAGATAGGCCTAGCCAAGGTGACGCAGAGTGGGCAAACCCAGATGCCACCCGTGCCCAGAGAAAGGCAGTGATTCAGTCGGAGCCTCCCGTCTTCCAAAGAGGCGCCAGGCCCCCTGGCCTGGGGGTCCTGCAAAGCTGCCACCTGACCAGCTGACTGGGACTCAGACAAGGGCCTCCGTCCCCGAATTATTAGAGGCTCCCTTGGGTGAGAAAAACAGAGCCCTCCACGATTCCGTTCCAAGTCCCCAGAACCCTCGGCTTCATCTGGTTTCGCATCTCCGCTTTTAAAGCACCCTGCCCACCCCCCCCCCCGCCTTCTAGGCCACCAAGTGTGCCCAGCATGGCAGGATGTGCAAATCGCCCCCCTCTCTTTGCTCCCGCTGGAGGTCAAGGGGCGTAAGGCGCACGTGCTGGCACCGTTGGCCCCACGCCCCGGTTCCGACCTCTCCAGATGGGGCTAAGAAACGGCGTCATCTGAACGTCCAGAAGGACCTGCGCTCCATCCTTTCTAGCGAACAGATGGTGGGGATGATGGGCATGGAATCCAACCTGTCTGGAAGAGATGGGTTTTGGGGAAGCTGAGGTGGGTTTGGCTCTTGGACCAGCTTCAGGCTAACGTGACGTTGGTGCCACCTTGCTTCATTGAGTAGTTGGCCGTGCTTCTATTGCCCATCCTGCGGTCAGATCAGGTCTTCGCTACACCGGGCCTTTGCACCTTGTTTCAACCCAGCCGGGGTGGTCCAAAAAGTCAAGATGGCGGCCGTGGCGGTGCAAGGAAAAGCTCCACCTGTTTTTTATGCACTATGGCTTGGATGGCACTGTTGTGGCCGCCATCTTGACTTTTTGGAAACCCCCCCTGCAGACATCCCCTCTCCCCTCCCCTTCTCTCCCCCCTGGCAACCCAACATACAAGCCGAGATGCTCCACGAATTATAACGGTCGCGTTACTCACTAATGTCTCGAATTCTATGGCCATCTCTGCGACGCTGGGCTGGAGGCACCCTGCAGCTGCACCCCAGCCTCTCTTTATAGATGTCCGGCGACTCCCCGGAGCATCTTTCCCAGCAGCAGCCCTGCCCACGCCCTGCCAGGGCACGCTGAGTCAGGCCTCCCCATGAGGGTGACATCATCCCCGGAGCAGTGACTTGATGCCCACAAGGCAACTCCACGGGTCCGTTGGGTCCCCGGCTGCTTCGACAGCGGAGGAGCAGAAAAGCCAAGGTTTGGGCAATTGGGAGGCTGGAGATCAGAGGCAAGGGGTGGGGAGGGCAGGGGAGGGGTGGGCAGAGCCAGCCTGTCTGGCCCTGCCGGAAGACACAGGGCAGAAACTGCTGCAGGGCACCCTTTCAGGCTGATGTGGAAAGAGCCATAAATTCCTAGCAAGGTGGTTTTTTTTTTTTTCTCCTGCCAGTCAAGGAAGGGAGATTTTTTACTCCCACCACGAGAAAACGGGCTTTTCTGCTTCCGATGCCAACGTCATCGGAGAGTCCTTGGAATTTAGGGACCTCGACTGTCACGTTTCCGCCTGACGGGTTTGGGGACGTTGCAGAGACCACAGACCCTTGGACCCGTTACAGGCTGAAGCTGCTACGGTCTATCCTTTGGGATAGGCCTCCTGTGGAAAGAGGGCGGGGCTGTGATCCCGCAGCTGCAGCCACCATCTTGACTTTTTTGACCCCACCTGGCCGATGGCCCCAGCTGGAAGGAGGGTTTGTGCTCATCGAAAGGAATCAGTAGATTCCCAATCCGCCCCCCCCCAAAAAAGCTTCCATCAAAGGGTGAGATCTAAGCCATTCAGGGAAGACACTGCCTTTCATCACCAGGCAGGGCTCATGGATGAATCACTTGTTGACTGTTGAGGGTTGAGAAAGCAGGTAGAAGATGACGTTTTATTGATGAGCGCCAAGGTCACCTGCTTCAGCGGAGCAGGGCTGCAGGTTGCAAAGGCAGCCTTGAAAGGAAATGCTTCGAAATGCAGGAAGTCCCCGGTTTAAGAACGAGTTCCGTTCCCAAGATATGTCCTCAAGTCGAATTTGTATGTAAGCCGGAAGAGTATTATTGCATAATACTGCTTAAGTCAGTGTTTCTCAAGCTTGGCAACTTTAAGATGTGTGGACTTCAACTCCCAGAATTCCCCACCCCACCCCCCTCGCCGGGTGGGGGCTCTGGTGTGGGAGTATCCGTAACATATTAGTCACCACATCCTTTTAATAGTA